GGAAAATCAATGATTAAAGTAATGTCCCATACACAATTTACAAATGTAAACACATTTTTTGGGCTAGATAAAATAAAAGACTACTTAGACTTCTAGTTTGAAGATATAAGTTGGCATTTTCCTTTTCTCATTCTAGAAATAATCCAAAAGCACTGAATAGACAGGAAAATAGCATAGTATAGAAAATTTAAACCACAAAATGAGTTGAAGGACAGTAAAAGGCAGTAAAAATAGGGCAGATACTACAAACAGGAGGGAAAGAGACTGAGACAGGTTGTCATGGGCGCCCATAAGAAAAATATATATATATATATAAATTTCTAAAAAACAAGGGGCACAACCTGAGATTCAAAATCTAATCCTCTGTTTGCAACAGTGGAAATGGGGTACACAGGACAGTATCAGGAGGTTCCCTGGCCCCAGTATGGTTCTAAGAAGTAGAAAAAGGTAAAATAAGAAATCATAGATGACCATTTTCATAGAGACAATTACTAACAAACACAAAACCATATACATCCATGGAAAGGGGCAGGGGAGGTGGACAGCACAAAAAAGGGAAAAAAACACACAAGGAAAAAACGGGTATATAGAAAAAATCCAGCTAAATGAAAACATGGCCCCACCTTCTCTTTAACATGAACCTCCTACAAATAGCTGATGACAGAATAATTCACATACCTCCAAAAAGAAATAGATAAAATACATAAAAGGAAGCCACCAAAAAAAAAAAAGAGGAAAAGAATAGGATGAACAAATGGCAGACACGCACTTTTAAAAAAAAAAAAAAGCTGTTATTAAACACTTGAAAATTGTGACCAAATAATTTGCCACAAATTAAAAATCAAACAAATGCACTTTAATAAAGCAATGGCCTCCATTAAGTTCCTTGCCACCAGGGCTCCCAACCAATGACAGAGCGTCCTAAAGCTAATGGACTTAAAGAGAAAGGAAGAAAACACAGGGATATCTAGGCAAAAAGACTGGATCATTTAAAGTGTGAGAAAAAAATCAAGCTGTTTTCAGACTTCACCACAGTAACATTTAATACCACCAGAACAGTGGAACAATACTGGGAGGAGGGGTAAGATTATCAGATATTAAAACATATTACAAAGCTATCATAATTTAAACAGTATAGTAACGACACATGAATAAACCAAATAAAGTCCAGATACAGACTCACATACATATAGGAATTTTAAATTTTGTTATGAGTAGTGAGAATTTCCTAGTGGGTTGAATATTGTGTAAAAGAAAGAAGGATGACTCTAGACATTCAGTTACAGGAATGGAAAGGATCAAGTTGTCATCAACCAACATATATAAGGCTGCAAGTTATGAAGCTTTTTTTCCCCAGCTGCCATCTAGTTGACTTCAACTTATGGCAACCCCATGTGTGTCACTGTAGAACTGTACTCCACACTGTTTTCAGTGACTGATTTTTCAGAAGTAGATTGTCAGGCCTTTCTTTCAAAGTGCCTCTGAGTAGACATGGACCTTTTGGTTAGCAGCCTAGTTTGTTTACCATTTGCAACATCCAGGGACTCCTTACATAGGTTGATGGAGAACCTAAAGAGCTTTCTACCATCTTTAGTCTACTGAATCAGTGAATAAGTTATAAAAATGGTCCTCAATTGAAAGCTAGATGGACAATGAGATAATCCAATGTCAATTGAACCAACTCTGTGAGCAAACATGGGCCCGGACCAAATCATTTTCATTAGAGAATGTGGAAATAGAAACTTTAATAAATGAAGTAAGGCTTTTAAGATTTTATAAGTACTAGAAATAATGTAAAGCCCAGCAAATTTGACTCAGCAATAAATTAAAAGAACAGCATACTGTGAGCAAGCACAGTTTATTCCAGGAAAAAAAGTATAGTTTAATATTAAAATATCTCCTGATGTAATTCATGAAATCAATATGTAACAAGAGAATCATATAATTATCTGATCAGCTACTTAAAAGCTATTTGATAAGATATAATGTCCACTCTTTATTCCCTGGCCAACAAAAATTTTCAGTAAATTAAGGAAAGATTACCTCTTTAATTTGATTTTTTTAAAAAAATTTATTTATTAATGCAAGAGCTAAAAGGGTAAATAGGAAAAACATTTCCAAGAAGGTCATGAGGAGAGTAAACATGTCCATTATTATTTAACATTGTTCTAGAAGTTTGAGCCAATGCAAAAAGATGAGAAAAAAAGAGACACAGTATAGGAAAGGAGATACAATGTTCACTATTAGAAGATGGTAAAACTGTTAATTTGAAATCCCCCCACCCAAATGACATAAAATACAATTTACCTAATTTTAAGAAATACTGACTGAATATCTCCTAAATACCTATCACCATTTTAGATGCTGGGATACACTACTGAACACACATGGGCAAAAATCCCAGTTTCATGGAACTTAAAATATTAGAGGAGGGGAAGAGACAATGAACAAAATAAAAAATAATTTAAAACAATAGTATGGATAAGATTAAAGCAGGGAAATGAGTTTCAAGGAGGGAGTGGCGGTGATGGATTGCTGTATGCCATTGTAATTAAAGTAGTCAAGAAAGACCTCACTAAGGAGTTGATACCTTAATAAAGATCTAAAAGAAATGAGGGAACAAGACATGGAAGCATTTAGGAGAAAAGTGTTCCAGGTATAGGAAACAGCTAGTGCAAAGGACCTAAGTAAGGTGAGAACATGCCTGGAATGTCTGAAGAACAACCAGGGGCCAATGTAGCTGAAGTGGAATAAGCAAGGGTAAGTGTTAGAAAATGAGGAGTGAATAACAGAGGTTCAGATCACATAGGTCCTTGTAGATCACTGTGATGACTGTGGCTTTTTCT